GATTCATCCGGGGATTTCTCGAACTGTTGTTTGGCATCTTCATAACCTCCCTTACGCACTTTCCAGTTCTACGTTGGCAATGACAAGATATTAGTCGACGGGAATCGAGTGAAATCGTCGAGGGCGGGGCTAACCTTGTGTGCGAATCGTTCGGGCAGTGGGAGAGAGGAGAAGTCCTCCTCTCCGTCAGCCATAATGACGGCGATCTAAAGTGCACTAGGAGAGAGACAAGTTAGTCAAGTCCTGAGATTCTGCGAGGGCAAATGTGCCATCTGTGTACGATCTCAAGGGTCACAGGCACAGTGGAACTTGTCTATATATTTCGGTATACAGATACCACTGTACAAAATTGAGGGTTGGGTGGATTCTCTCTTATATATCGCGCACACACCTTAAACTTGCAGAAGGTTGCAGGGCTCGTGCGGTTGGGCAGTTAACCGTATGTTAAGCCACGCACAACGGGTATCCAAAGAAAAGTATAACTCAATGTCGGAGGGAGTCAGGATGACAAGGATCGATGTTCTGCCGTTGAAAATAGGAACCGGACAGAACCCGTGGGGTCAAAGGGTGGATGGAAGTTCAATCAGACTAGCAGAGTGGGAGAGAGAAAGAGACGAAGTAAACAACGGGCAAGTCGCTCCGGTGACTTTCGCGACCCAAAAGGGAGAGTGGACGGACTGGTCTTTTTTTCTGCCAATCTTGTCCGGCTTGTCTTCCCCGCGGATCAACAAAAACAAACACACTTTATTCTTTTCCTGTAACTTATTTACTTAAGTTATTCACACCTCACATGGCTGATCACTTGGGGTGATTTGATTTATTAAAGTTTGATTGACAACCCCTGAACCGAGAATTCCATTATTTGACCATCTACTGAGTACTCCCTCTGAGAAAGACATTTTATATTCATCGTATGATTTACTGCAAAATATTCTTAGACCTTTGGGGCGATTTCGCCATTTAATGCACCACAGACCACGCTAGACCAGTAGACAGAACTGATAGGTGGGTCAACATTGAATCCTAATGAGAGTTAAAGACGCTCTGACAAGGCAGATAAGATGTATCACTCTAACCACAGTAATATTCCACGTTAAGAAACCCCTTTTCATTGCATCTTTTGTGGCTGTTATTCACCTAGGAGAATTCCCTGGAGATCATTTTCATTACACGTGATCCTTCGCATTGGGACGTAACTATATACTCCATATTATCGCCAAAGGATGCCATACGCTGACAGGTTCCTGGACTTCAATAATGTGTCCTCGTGGTGTCCACGAATAACGCCCTGCCATAGAGATAGAAGTCGGAAACAAAGCTCTATATTACACAATATAGCTGGAAAAAAAAGACGCTTGTTGCCCCAGAGGAATGCGAGCTTGTCTCTATAAGGTAGAGAGAAACCCGGTGTATTGGCATACCAATACCACGTTGAGACTGTTGTTAGGGGCTCATAATTCATCTAGAAAATGCACGAATAATATTCAAGCAGCTTAGGGCAAAGAACTCATCTTGACTAATGCCAACAACTTAGCAGCTACGTATTCCTGCCAATATTGTATAGACCAACATCAGCCCTATCAGCCCTACCATGTCAAATTCTCCCAAAGAATCATCTTGCCCTAAGCATAAAGCCTAAACTTTGATAGTCACATTCCCCAAAGGCCCACTAGTCTGCCCCGATCCTCCAAACTGCGTAATCTCATATCCCCATTCCGGGTCCTCGCCATTCGGCGTGGTCACCTTCAGCTTGTTCCTTCCCACAGTCCATGGACTATCCCAGTAAACATTCTTATCCACGGAGCCGTTCCGAGAACGCAACATACTACTATCATAGCTAGAGACTATCTCGCACAGCCCATATAACCCTAACACGGATGGACACAATTCAGGTATCTAACATACATCCTACTTCAATTCATCCCTTGTAGAAACACGACACGTAGTACCATTACCAGAACGCGAGCAGCCATCAGGGCAAGGGTAAGCCGGATCAAACTGCCACAAAAAGTACGGATCCGTCTCATTCGCAAGAACATCCCCCATCAGGAGAGTATGGGACGACAAGTCTAAAGAAGCCTGAAAGACCTCCAGCGAGGATATATGGATCTGGGACCAGCCCTTCCGGACTAACGTGTGAATTGAAGTCCCGTAGACATACTCCTTAAACCCTGCCCACCGAATGGCAGACGCGCACTTTCTCATCGTTAACCTCTAGATATATGTCTTGCAATATGAAGCGTCGGGGACAAAGTACTTACCATAGGGCAACTCTCGGCGTTGGTATACAATGTCAAATCGACAAATGCAGCTTGAGCTTCAGAGGCCGTTAGTCGAAATCGGCCATGTGGATCTGTCAGAATGGCAGTGCAGTTTGTGATGGCTGCTATTTCTCCTAGAGGGTATCGATCTCCCATCAGCAACAGATGGGGAGACTACTATGGGAGGGAGGTTTGGGGTATGGTACCGTGTAAGGCCGGGTTTCCTGTCTGGCGATTCTGGTTGACGCCAATGCATATCTGATCCCCAAGTCCATCAGTGCCAGTGTGGTTAACGACGGCAGTGCCAAACGCAGCGAATGGACAGGGAGATCCGCTTAGTTCGCCCAATGCTTCATTTGCTCGACGCATCCAGTACGCTCTAGTTGAGAAAGGAATATCCCTGGTGATTAACATTGAATCGGGAATCGTACTCGAAAGGATCGTCTGAAAGAAGCACAAGAGAATGGCAATAGGCAAGGTAAACATATGCATTTTGCACATCAGAGAAGCAAAGTAGCTGTACTTTGAGTTTGATAGGCCATGGATATGAAATGGTCTTACGGCCTATTTAAAATTCAGTGTATCGTACCAGATAGCACTAGCATCATGAGACGCGGGGTCTTATCTATTTCCCCTGTCCCCGGCGACTCTAGGTGCCTGCCCGGAAAGATAAGCTGGAACCATGGGTCTAAGGCCATGATAAATCTACTGATAATACCTTAGTGATAGGGTGATGTTGACTGACTCCGAGCTACTAGCAAGTCTATCTGCAAAACAGATACTTCCACTGAAAGTGTTCTTAAAATAGTGAGTCTTCTATACTCAAATCTACCCAAGCACATCCCAAGAATACGGATGTATTCCCTCAGAGACCTGTCTTGTTCCATTTAGCTCGCATGTTAGTCAATTGCACCTTGATCGAAACCTTGGAGATACGCTTTTTCTACCTAAGTCTCCAGTGATCACTCAATCCATCCAGTAACTGGACGTTAGGTTACAGGCCTATAGAAACGCATTCAGTCAGTGATAGTCCAGAATTAGCACTTCTGAGATCCAAGCTTAATGCCAGACTCCAATCTGAAACAGACTATACGTTGTCTTCCTTGAGTTCAAGCTACATGTCAGCTTCTCGATCAACCATTACAAGACGCCAAAGTCAAATTCCAAAGCTTACATTTCTATAATACGACTGGCCAATATGAGTAAGTGTTGCAAAGAGAAGACTGGTAGCACACATGCACAGTGAGATATAATACATTCGGAAAGAGTCGACACACAAAGATAGAACACAGCTCTCTGAGCCCAATATTTATCTTATACAATCAAAGACAAATGCCAAAGAATGACAAGCGGAGTATACTTGCCTTCTACTGGGCCCCAGTACGCTCATATACTAGCCTCCTGATCCGTCCAACGTGCTCTTGTCCTTGTAAGCTCTGGCCCTCGCCACCCTCTGCTCTTTTGGCTTCCCTGCGCTCCCACTTGACAGTTCGCTTGGCCACGCGCTCTGCGTCCCGCTCTTCACGTGTCATAACAGCCGGTCTGTCTTCAATTGCCTCGCCGAACGGCGCAATAATCCTCTCAACGACATGACGCACATTTCGGCTCTTTGGGTAACCGGAGGAGAACTCGATGACGTCCCCTTCGCGCAGGGAATTCTTTGGGTCGGACACAAGATATGTCGTAACCTTCGGATATGTCTTGCGAATGTGACTGTCCCACATGGTGTGGCGATGGGAGACGCGGACAGTACGGTCCATGCGGCCGACGGAGACCACAGTGCCGGTCTTCAAGGTATAGGGGTAGCTGCGGAGGGAAGGAGGAGCCACAGATGGAGTAGAAGGTGCTGTGGACGATTGGGTTTCCGTGGGTGTAGCGGTCGTCGAATTAAAGCGGCGGATTGGTGTCGAGATGGTAGAGTAGATGTGTGCGGCTGAGGATGAGGTCGAAGTAGGTCTGACGATAGAAGAGCGAAGGGGCTGCATCGCCCGGAAGAGGTTGCTTGGACGCATCTTCGTATGAGTAGAGGGGTTCCCCTGTGTCTGTTCTTGATGCTTGTTCTCTTGGGTGCGATAAAGTCCAACTCGGTGATTCCTCAAAGGCGCGTGCGGTTTTGTCGCCGATCGAGAGTGAATTTTACGTCCGCAAAGTTTCGACTGAAGCCCAATCTTAGTCCGATAATATTACAATTGGGCAATATGTTCTCGTCTCAAGAAAAACTCAGGCGGCGTCTCCGATGGAGGAGCGTTAAACCCGCGGACGAGGCCGTCCAGAATTTCTCGCCGATGTTTGCACTGTTTGCATACTCGCGCCATGCAAATATACAACTGGAAGGTCAGATCTTTCCAGAATGAAGCTACTACATCCTAATACTAGGTAGCGGACTGAGGATATGTCATTCTGTTCTATCGAATACAAATAAATAATGGTAACACACGCTGAGTTGAGAGCTTAGACAGAACGCTTAATGTACAGTACACCAGCAACACCTCAACCTTTTATACCCATCCATGACCCGGACCCAAGAATCTAAATACAATATTACCCTCTTATGACATTTCAAAGGAGTGACCGAGAATCGTAACCAATGCAAAGCAAACTCAAAAACAATTCACGCCATCCAGTGCTCATAGACCGTCAATAAAAAAGCTCTAAGCCACTCGTTACACATCTTTGTGTTTCCTCTTCTGATACTCCAACCGAGACAGTATAGAAGGTAGGTATCTTTTTGGCGCACAATTAAGACGATCCCTCGGATTCTACACCGTTCACTTGTTCGTGGTATGCGCCGGCAAGTGAAGCCCTTTTAGACTGGAATTTCTCCGCAGATTGGGTAGATATCCTCGTCAATTCCGTTACGAATGACTGGCCCCAGAAGGCACTGAAATAGGTTAGCGATGTTTATCCATCGAAATGACACGCATGTGTATACCTCGTATATTTATTGACATATTTGTCCAGCTTGGAGAAATTCAGGGCCCTCTGCTCGTCGCTCATGGTAACAGCCTCCTGGTAGGCACCGGCGAGTTCTTCGGTATTCCAAGGGTTAATAATGATGCTGCCATTGAGACTCTGGGCTGCACCGGCAAACTCTGAGAGGACCAAAACACCGTGCCGCTTTTGCTGGGTTGCAATATACTCGTACGCGACCAGATTCATGCCATCCCGAGTTGACGAAACGATGCACGCGTCCGACACGGCATACAGGGCAATCAGTTCATCAAAGTTGACTGACTTGTGTAGGAAGTGGATTGGCATGAATTCCACAGTACCTAATCAGGTCAGCAACACGTTATCATGGCCTGCTAGTAAAATCACTTACCAAACTTCCCGTTGATACGGCCGACTAGCTCGTTCACAACAGCCCTCAAGTTCTGATACTCCTCGACATCCTGCCTACTGGGGACAGCAACTTGAACCAGTACAACTTTACCAACCATTCAGGGTGGTCACTAAGGAACACTTCCAGCGCATGCAGCTTTTGCGGAACGCCCTTAATATAGTCAAGGCGGTCAACACCAACCATAAGCTTCACTCCCTGGAACTTCTGTTCAAGCTGTGCAATCCGCTTCTGGACCTTCTCTTTCTTAAGACCCTCCTGAAATTTCTCAGGGTCAATGCCGATCGGGAAGCTCCGCAGGCAATAATTTTGCCCTGGAACTCTATGCCGTTAGGAGTTGTCGCCAATCCCCTAGATGCCCATCGTTAGCTCCCACGTTTTTACATAACGGCTGGTCTCAACGTACAATAAGCGCGAGCAAGCGCTCAAGAAATGTCTTGTATAGTCGTAGGTGTGGAAGCCTATGAGGTCGCAATGGAGGACCCCAAGCAACAGCTCGTTTCGGACGGGGAGGATCCTGTAAATTTCACTGCTAGGGAAGGGGGTGTGTAGGAAGAATCCAATCTTGACGTTCTGCTTCTGGTCTCCGATTTCTTCTCGAAGCATCTCAGGAAGAAGCATCAAATGGTAGTCATGCACCCAAATTAGATCTCCATCCTGAACTTCTTTCGCGACGGCCCGCGCGAATAGGCGATTCGCATCCTTATAAGCGTCCCAAGCAGATTCATCGAAGGTGATTTCACCAGGATGATAATGGAAAAGGGGCCACAGAATAGAATCTGATCAATAGAAACTTATTAGCAACTTGGTACAACTTGATGCGCTTGAGTCTGCGATCTAAATGCAAGGTAAGATGTACTAACTAGAGAATCCATTGTAGTGCCGGTCCGCTAGCTCATCATCGATAAATACGGGAACTGCATTGTACTCATCCTTCAACCGTTGCTTCACCACCGGTATCTCTTCTTCGGGGACCTCTAGGCCGGGCCAGCCATACCATTGGAACGTAGTGGATTTTGATAGACCACTGAGACCGCTGACCAAGCCACCAGATGACATGGAGAAGTCATACTTCCCGGCTTCGGAGCGTTTTATCGTAATCGGTAACCGATTTGAAATGAGGAGTAGTCTTGACTCATTCTTAGAACCGTCTTCGAGGGAAGGCATTGTTGGCGAAATCGGATTTAATGGCTGAATGAAATTGAATCGAGGATGTTAAGTTTCTCACAAAGAAACCTGTTGAAAAGAAAGAAAAGAAAAAAAAGAAAATAGATTGGAAGAAATAAAAAGGAAGCAAGAGAGGAAATAGAGGGGTAATGTATAAAGACAGTTAAGTCAACGCCAAATTAAAACGACGATTGACAGCTTTGCCGCAGCCTAAAGGGAACCAAGAATCAGACAGTTGGCCAGTGAAACCAAACACTGCTAAAATGACAATAAATGCCGGCCCTACAACGAAGGCGGGGAGCTTTTGTGAAGTACAAGAAGGCGGTCCGGTGGGGAGAAAACGGGCAAAGAGTGACCTCAGAGCTCAGCAATCAACCAGACGCACGGACCAACTGACCCAAAGTTTCCAGTCGGGTAATAAGGACAAGCTGGAGTGACTGTAGTATGAACTGCGCACGCTCTTCACTAGCGAGTTCATCGACTAGGAAGGATATACCAAAAGACAGTTGATTACTTTGGAAATAGCCGGTAGGAGCAGTCTGACTTGGATCCAAGTTCTGATAATATATGAAGGGATTCCTAGATGAAACTGAATAAGGGAGGAGAAATCTAGTTTTGCACGGATAAAGAATTTAATGATGAATGAGGTCACGGGCCCGCAAAGTTAACCACTCACCGATTGCGGATGATGCCAACACTCCCATGGAAGGTGGTGAGGAGCCCCTCAGCTGCTTAAATATGATCCCAATCAACAGGGAAATTCACTGAGTGCTTTTCCTGCTGGGAATATTAGGCGCGCCGAGCCCACCTGCTGGTCGGATGACGATTTGCCAATGTAATGCCAACCCCTCAGTCTAGTGTAAAGTTATGTATGGTACTGCAACTCTTTTTGCTTTTTTTTCTTCTTTCCTTTTACATCTCTTACTTTAACTTTTTCTTGTGAGGGTGTTTTTTACTTTTCCATTTCTTTTTTGTTTTGTCTCCGCCTAATTTAATACAGAGTACTGCGTAGTCCTTTTTTCCCTCATGGTGGCGTTATGTAGCCCACCTCCAAGTACAAAGTGCATTTCTGACAGGTCCAGACTGGGCCAAAAAGTGTTCGTTCAACTTGCGGTTTTTCCCTGCCAGAAAAGTCCAGACCTCTTCTGATAGTACTGGTATTGAATGATGTTTGAAAGACGGTCTGGGCAAACCTGGCATGCCCCCGGCGCTTTCTGTAATCTTCTTGGTTGTGTAGTGGTTGTCTATGCTTTCTACTTCCAGCAAACCCAGGCCACGTCATAACATCCCAGGCACTTACAGTTGCATAGATTGTCATTAGATAGAACATCATTGTATGTCACACAGAGCTATAGTGAAGGGCGTTTATAGCGCAGACTTCCCGGTTTCCAGCCTCCACTTATCCGATTCCGTGTCATGGACTGTCTTACCCTCGGCTTCTAATTTCATCAGCACCTGCAGCACACCGTGCGACGCTGGCAGGTGAAGGCTTTCCGGGACGTTGTAGTATATCACTTTCACTATCTCGAGGGGGGTCCAAGAGGCCTTCCGCTCCGGTGATGGTTCATCATCAGGGACATCAAGTTTTCCATAACGCAACACGCGGATCACTTCATCTTCACGCTGTTGTCGATGCTTGATGTATTCAGTGATCTTCGCCGTCGCATTCTCAATCACCGCTCCATGGCCAGGATACCCGCGACCGGAAACGCGGTCTTGCATACGCTGGAGACTGGACAGATACACTTTCAAATCTTCAAATACTGCAGTCCCATGTCCCAGAACGTCTAGCAGGTTTTAGATCAGTTATGCACGACTATAACACAGTATGGGATGAGTTGGGGGCAAGGGAGAACCCACTATCACCAGTAAAGATGGCATCTTCCTCCTCTAGCACAAATATCATATGATCAACGGTATGTCCCGGTGTATGAAACGCTTTCAATGTGGCTCCCTCTACGGAAAAGACCTGTCCATCCTCGATACCACTCTGTCCCTCGTTTGGTTGGTTCTTGTAGATAGTGACTTGAGGACAAAGCTTGCGAAGGTCAGGGATGCCATTGACGTGATCATGGTGCCAGTGCGTCAGGAGTGCTTTATGCACGGTGGCATTCTCTTCCGACAGGATTGTCCTCAGGTGAGCAGCCCAGGAAGGCTTGCCTTCACCTGTGTCAATCAGAATCCGTTGAGGTCCACGACCTATCAGATATGTGTTTGTTCCTGAAAGATGTTGTTAGGTCCAAAGCTGCGAACCCTATTGGATGAAGGTGGAGTGACTCACCCTGCAGTGTAAACTATATGCAGGGTCAAATTAATGTAGGTTCTTGTTTTATCGAGCTTAACAGAATATGCATCAAGACGCGATAGTTCAAGGTACTTTGGACTCGCAGTCACCGGAATCAGGGAATATCAAAATTCAGGTCCGAACCTTACCTTGCCGGGATTACCACCAAGTATCCGCACCACTGAAGCACTGAGTCTCTCCACCTCCGGCAGAGGAACGAGCTGAGTAGCCATAGTTGGGCACGAACGTTCTCCGGGTCAAGTCAAAGTGCAACGGATAGTCCGGGGCCTTGTCTTTCAGGTATCCCTAAGTCTGGATTCGACAAACGTGGGGCGAATAAGTAATATGAAGGATAAATCTAGTTGAGAGTGGTGGGTAACAGCGGCCCGACGGAGTGTTCAACACCGTGGGAAAACGGCACTGTTCCAAATTGTGGACTTACAGCTACACCGCTGTCAATGCTAGATAGAGTAGTATCTTCCAACACCACCTGTGCATCCAACTTTACTCAGGATTCGCCGAACGCTTTTTATTTAGCCTTAGTTGCCCAAGCCGGATGAATCGGAAATGGACTAGATAAGATCTTCCTACCTGTGAGGCGAAAGAATGTGGTTATGAGTTCCGCAATGTCAACTGACCGCGACTGACTGACGAGACAACAGAGGTGGTCTACCATTCGTACTCCGTATCTTATTGATATAGTAGAATTACATACCGAGAGCGGGGGTTAAGTTTGAGCCTCGGCTGAGCACGCGATCTTATGTCAGCTATGTCGAAATTAAGCCATGAGAACACCTTGGGTGACCTATGCATCATTATGTTCATCTACAGCTCATCAAGCTATTGAGTTATGTTCAGGCAGAACGGAAGAAGAGAATATTAATCTGAACAAAAAGGAAATATGGTATGATTGCTGTCCCTAACATACAGTAGATGATATAGGAAAAATGACACAAGACTATATCCATATAGTCCACCCAAACTCAAAGGGGTCCAACAAATGTGGAGATAACAAAACAGGTCGTTAAATTTTGAAACTTGACTCCGCAATATCCCATCGTAGAAATCCCATTAGCAGCCGCTATCATCCCCAGAGCTGCCACTCATTCTCAACGTGCCAAGTCGCATGGCAAGGCACTAAGCTGATATGCTTCTCCTCGAGTGTTTAGAAACATATACAGTATAATTTACAAACGGACCAATGTTGACCCCAGCGCTAAACCCGGCTTGTGGCACATTTAGTTACCCTTGCGGGCCATGGTGTTGAGGGCAGATCCATCCTTGAACCACTCGATCTGGGACTCGTTGAAGGTGTGGTTGAGCTTGACGTCGAAGGTCTTGCCATCCTTGGGGTGGACACGGAGGGTCATGGGCTTGCCGACCTCAAGCTCAGTGCAGAGCAAGTCAACCTTGTCCTCGGGCTGGATCTTGTCATAGTCGGCAGGCTCGGCGAAGGTCAGAGGAAGCATACCCTGCTTCTTCAGGTTGGTCTCGTGGATACGGGCGAAGCTGCGAGTGATGATAGCAAGACCACCAAGGTGTCTAGGCTCCAGAGCAGCGTGCTCACGAGAGCTACCCTCACCGTAGTTCCAGTCACCAATGACAACCCACTTGATGCCACGGGCCTTGTAGTCACGGGCAGTAGCAGGGACGGCATCGTATGCACCAGTGAAAGCGTTCTTGACCTTGTTAGCCTCACCGTTCTCGGCGTTGATGGCACCAATGAGCATGTTGTTGGAAATGTTGTCAAGATGGCCACGGTACTTCAACCATGGGCCAGCCATGGAGATGTGGTCAGTGGTGGTCTTGCCCTGGCACTTGATGAGGATAGGGATGTCAGTAGCATCCTTGCCATCCCAGGCCTGGAATCCCTGGAGGACCTGAAGACGGTCACTGGTAGGGGAGACAGCGACGTTGACAGTGGAGCGGTCGGCAGGAGGGGCCTGGTAGGTGTTACGGCCGGGGTCGTAGCCCTTGGCGGGGAGACCCTCACCGGTGGGAGGCTTGAGCTTGAACTCCTTGCCATTCTTGTCCTTCAGGGTATCGGTGAGAGGGTTGAACTTGAGAGTACCGGCGACAGTCATGGCAACGACAAGGTCGGGGGAGGTGACGAAGGAGTGAGTGGCGGGGTTGGCGTCGTTACGGCCAGTGAAGTTACGGTTGTAGGAGGAGATGATGGAGTTGGCCTCGCCCTTCTTAACATCCTTACGATCCCACTGTCCAATGCAAGGACCACAGGCGTTGGCAAGGATGACACCACCGTACTCCTCGAGGGTCTGCAGCTGACCATCACGCTCGATAGTAGCGCGAATCTGCTCAGAACCGGGGGTAATGGTGAAGAGAGACTTGGACTTCAAGCCATGGTCAAGGGCATCACGGGCGATAGAGGCGGCACGAGACATGTCCTCATAGGAGGAGTTGGTGCAAGAGCCGATGAGACCGACCTTGAGCTCCTCAGGCCACTTGTTGGCCTCGACAGCCTCCTTGAACTTGGAGATGGGGGTAGCAAGATCGGGGGTGAAGGGACCGTTGATGTGAGGCTCCAGCTCAGAAAGGTTGATCTCAATCAGCTGGTCGTACTCGGCACCCTCATCTTCGCGGAGTTCCTTGGCGTAGGACCTAGCGAAGTCGCCAATGTGCTGACGCTTGGTGGCCTTCAGGTAGTCGTACATGCGGTCATTGTAGGGGAACAGAGAGGTGGTAGCACCAATTTCAGCACCCATGTTACAGATAGTACCCATACCGGTGCAAGAAAGAGAGTTGACACCAGGTCCGTGGTACTCAACGATAGCACCAGTACCACCCTTGACAGTGAGGAGGCCAGCGACCTTAAGGATGATATCTACACACAATCAATAAGCTTTTTCTCCTTTCACCTGTAAGAAATTCACCGTGTTGTGACTTACCCTTAGGAGTGGTCCATCCGGACAGCTCACCGGTGAGCTTGACACCAATGACCTTAGGAGCCTTAAGTTCCCAGGGGAGACCAGCCATCACATCGACGGCATCAGCACCACCAACACCAATGGCAGCCATACCAAGACCACCACCGTTAGGAGTGTGAGAGTCGGTACCGATCATCAGACCACCGGGGAAAGCGTAGTTCTCCAGAACGATCTGGTGGATGATACCGGAGCCAGGCTTCCAGAAACCAATGTTGTACTTGGCAGTAGCGGAGGCAAGGAAGTCGTAGACCTCCTTGTTGATCTCGTTGGCACGAGCCAAATCCTTGTCACCTCCAACCTGAGCCTCAATCAAGTGGTCACAGTGGACGGTGGTAGGGGTAGCGACGGAGGGCATGCCAGCCGACATGAACTGAAGGATAGCCATCTGAGCGGTGGCATCCTGGCAAGCGACACGGTCGGGGCGCAGCTTCAGGTAGGAAACACCACGCTCGATGTCCTGCTCATGAGGGTTGTCAAGGTGAGAGTAGAGGATCTTCTCGGCGTAGGTAAGAGGACGGCTCAGACGACTACGGACGATTTCCAAGTTCTCAGACATCTTCCTAAAGAGTTGGCACAACTGTTAGTCGCTGCGTCAAAGGACCATAATGGCGCATTCATGAAACAGGAGCTCCTGATATGAAAAGTAAAAGGTGCTGCCATACTTGTAGTTGATGTAGTTGCCCTATGAGATACATTGTCAGCAAATTCCGATTTCCATATAGGGTAGCGCTCGCTCTCCCGATGCAGCCGAGAGTAGTCTTCTCATTGCTCACCTTTTCAACATTGGACATCTCGACCTTCTTGTCGAGAGGGTGTTCGCTGGCAGTGGCCAGACCCCGAGCCCCGAGAAACTATGAAATAGGTTAGTTTCCAATTCGACACCCGTATCATAAGGATCCCAAATTCCCGCAGAAGCGAGAACAATCAACAAGGTGTTCTTACAAGGCGGGACTTGGGGGCCTGTGGAAGAGATTCATGTTAGTTTAGGGTGCTTCAAGCGTAGATCAGCCGGGGAAACCTAGCATCGGATAGGAGACGATGCAGGTGCCACGATGCTGAAGAAAGCGATATACTGAGGACGACTTACCAGCGCACCCATGCGCGCGAGCCTTGTGGAGATCATTTTGTGAAAGCTCTCTATGCGAGGTGAGCAAGGCCGCAACACATCCAAGAGCTATGCAACAACAGCTAGCTTCAACAGTTGGAAGCAGCAAAGATGGAGTGGAGAGTAAAGAGAGAGAAGAAAGAGGGTCAGAAGAGAAGGGAAAATGGAGCAAATAAAAGGAAGCTCTGGTGTTTTTCAGAGTGGGAAAGAATTCTTGCTTGACAGTAGCCAGTACTGAACCGGCGAACAGGACCCGTAACCGCTTGTGACAATACAGGAGCCTTACGCATTCGGGACACCTGGGACCAAACTAAGCATGCGACCGGACACAAGGAAGTGGCTGGGCAACCCGCAATTTGCCCCCTTTCTTTACCCTGTCAAGTACTGCAAAATTCGGCTTACCTACACACATTCCTACTCCAGGACCCATAAGGTCATTAACCGGAAACCGAAGGTTTCTCATTGATTCGAAAAGCGCTCACTCTCAATGGCCTCGACAAGTCTCCATGTGGTCTTTGGATACTTAGAATAGCTCTCTACCTTAGGACTAGTATCCTACCTTAACGTTTACCCGTGTCCGGTTACATGGTAACAATACAAGCGCAGTCAGTGGACCAACGCATGTGAGCGGAGATCGTCATAGACCAATCATGAATGACTTATTACATCAAACTTGAGCTACAGTACTCGGAGGACATCATAGATGCAGCTTTTGACATTTCAAAACATCCCACTGTTGGCAGCTTCTATAGGGACTACGATGGATAGTAGCGTAATGTGGCAAAGTGCAAAGGCCTCTAGATGATTCATTGCAGGTTCAAGGCGATATTACTACTAGTAATTCGTTACTGCAGTAACTTCATTGGGCCCCTGCTGTCTTATTTCTCCTAAAACGCAACTGGGCGATGCTGTTCCGGAGCAATGTGCCGAAAAAATGGAAACGTCATAAATTACAACCTGCGAAAGATGGATGTAACAGCGACCCCAGCCTGCTGACAGAGCCGAGTCAGAGCCGAGGCCTACCGATGGTCATCCTTCCCGCGGACCGGTGCCAAGCCGACCCGCTTTTGGCCAATCAGGAGCGATATGTTTCACCAAATTCTTTTCACGCACACAAAGGCGGAAATTTTGAGATTGTTGACCCGCTCTCGCAACAACTAAAGCTTTGGCATCGTTCCGTATATCGGTGATAATACTTTGCGACGCCAAAAAAAAAAAAGTACCTGCAGGCTGGTTCTGATAGATAGGTATCCAAAATGGGCGCTTTGAGAAGAATTAAGACAAAGCGCAGGACAAGGTACTACAACTCTCAGTTATTGTCTACTTCTTAGGGATTTGCGAAAAACATTCTGACTGGACTGATACCTACAGGGATTACGATCAGGTTCGAGCTGATATTGAATCCCCCAAACACCTTGCGCAATACAAAGCCACCAAGGACCCCGAGGACCTACCGGGACTTGGAAAACATTACTGCGTTGAGTGCTCAAAATGGTTTGAGAGTGAACACAACCTGGTTGCCCACACAAAGGGTAAAAACCATAAACGAAGGTCAGTAACAGACCAGCGCATCTTGGCGCAAGCTTTCGCACGCAATCTGAAGCTGACTCGAGCGCATCCTGTGCATACAGAATTCGCCTCCTACGTGAAGAGCCTCATACACAGAAAGTCGCTGAAGCCGCTGTGGGTTTAGGCACCGATAAGGGCCTTCGCTTGGAAGAAAATGTTGTCGACATGGAGGATTAAGCTTCTACGACTAATACGCGCTTGACGAGTGTCCGCACCTATCGGATATACATTGCCAATATGAAGGGGGATATGTCTCTTGGACAGGCTGAACGAGAAGCAAGCGACAGAAAAAAATTCATCCGTGAGGGTTGATGTTGTCTTGAAGACAATGCTATTGGTTGCAAAGCTCAAGTCCTTTCGCCCAATCAGCGACCGGCATGGTCACATGAAACACGTGAAACCACATGCGCCGAAAACCGCCAGAGTTTGGCGCCCGATTTACCGAGTACGCTGATTCCGTGTTGCGGTGACCCGACCGGAATCGCCGTTTCTCGGACATTCGTATATTGGGCTCCACTACATCGGCCACTACTCAGTTAGGGCGAGTATTACTTACAAGTCGCAATACATGGACATAACTTAATATTCGTAGGACAATCTGCTCCCGAGTATATCCCTATTTATGAAACTTGCGCATGTGTCTGATTCCATGGGTTGTTGAGATACACCATGAGCCACTCGTAGCTTGCCCACTATTACACACATTGCTTGATTAGCTGTGGCCCCGATCTGTATATGTGGAAAAACATACCTGGACAGCATTTACTATGAAAGCCCTTACACTACACACTCCTAACCCGCGATAGAAGGCCTTCAGCCCTTCTGTCCGATAGGTCTCCCTAGCGAGCTGAAAGCTGTTCAGCGCCCGTCTATCATTCTGAGACCGCACCAGAGGCTGGTCTTCAGGACGTGTCCCGAGCCCCTGCGCCTGCAATCTAGTTTTGATCATGTCCAGCGGATAAACCGAAGCCCATGTAGCTACTCCGGCAACACCGCCGCAAAGTAGTACTTTGATTGCCGCCTGCTGTGCATCATCATCCTTAGAAACCATGAGACGTTTGCAATACTCATAAGTCCAGAAACTGTGACACTATAAGTAAATAGTGCACTCTAAGTAGAACATGCGGGGGGGAAGAAATCCGGGGAAGCATTGTGCGTACTAAAATCCATAGCCAATAGAGTCTCGAGCACAGGTTATGGCTCCTCCATAATAAAGGCCCCTCCAGCCAAGGGTTCTTATGGTATCTTTGGCGACGGTCCAAGATGACACTCCCGGGCGTGTGTCAAGTTGCGTTCGGCATTTGATAAACTCAGTCGGAGACGACACAGTCCAGCTGGCCACTCCGCCTGCAGCACCGGCAAGCCATAATTTATACAGTGGAATTCCTTGAGGGTTTGTGGGGTCTGTCACAGAACTGTCCAAGAGCATCAATGACCGGTTATAGGCAACAAAAAGAATAGCATTTAAAGCCCCATATCCGAGAATTGGAGCCGCAGCACCTAATATGCAGGTAAGTTGATGCGTCTTGTCGGGGAACTTCACAGTGGCTGGCTAACCTCGCACGAGTGAGCTGGTGCTCTCAAAACGGCCCAATTGCTGGTGTGGCAATGTTGCACCTGCATGTGTAGCATGACTGGCTTGTAATCGAACTTTGATAAGGTCCAGAGGATTTCCGATGATGATCCCAATGGCCCCACTAAGGTAGCCAGCCCAGAAGTCTGAGGACATGAGATCAAACTTCGACCTCTCAACTGTAGTCGGTAGTCTTAAGGTTACTTCATTTCTTCCATTTGGTGCGAGCTCGTCATAGGGGCGGGGTTCCATAGTAGCCCTGGTATCACCACGTGACAGCGTGACACTTTGGTGTTAGGGCAATCACAGGAAAGCGCGCCAAGAAGCGGCAACGCGTTGTTCTTGGGTTTATGGAAGTGACATTGACTGCCAGGCACCAACCTACCTATTAGTACGTGTATCAGAAAGGCTGCCCGGCTAGCATCACTACCTTAAATGTAAGGAGGAAACTGTTCAACCTCCTAATGCTATAAATCGCTAATTCTTTTAAGGTATCGACCACGACCGAGTGGAAGGGAAGATGGTGGAAACACACCGTTATCCAAATCCCTCCAGACCCCGTCCTCGACGTCCATTGACCGCCTATCGAAACCGTTCAAATGCCCTGGATCTGCTACACCCACACGGACGTCTGATAAACCTGCGAGAAAACGAAGAAAGGTGAATTATGCGGGAGCTGATGAAAGTGTGGACGACAATAGTGAAAAACCATATACCAACGAGGAACGTTTAGCACTCGCCACCAGAGATGTGAACAGGTTCCCTGTGTTCAAACCTAAAGATAAAGAGACAACATTCAAACAACGATTCAAGATACCTTTAATCAATAAGGCGGTTGACAGCTACAATGGCGCTAGAGCAGCACCAACTCTGGGGATGCGACAAGGTGCTACATTTATTGTGAAACCTCTACATGATCCTAGCGGAGAATTCGCGATAGTGCTGTATGATCCGACTGTTGATGATGTCGGTGAGAACACTGAAACAAAGTCGCCAGCCGATGGAAAGCCAGAAGAAGAACAGCCCAAGTTGGACGCTCCCCTTGTGCATAAGAGCTTAGCAGACATACTTGGTCTCAAGAAGAAAGTTGAATCTGGTCCAAAGGTTCCTGTCGTGATAGATCCAAGGTTGGCAAAAGTTCTACGTCCACATCAAATTGAAGGTGTAAAGGTAACATGACTGTTCCAGTCAACACTCTCTTGCGATGTTAGACTAACCATAACTGTTTTTTAGTTTTTATACCGCTGCACAACCGGTATGATCGATAAGAACGCACATGGCTGTATAATGGCAGATGGCATGGGACTAGGGAAAACGGTATGGCCAACAGACCCTTCTGAACAATGGTCTCGACTGACGGCGATAGCTACAATGCATCTCATTGATGTGGACATTGCTCAAGCAGTCTCCTGAGGCAGGCAAGACCCTTATCCAGAAGTGTATCATTGCTTGTCCCTCAAGTCTGGTTGGCAACTGGGCCAATGAACTTGGTAAGTAGTGCGCCCTGGAACTTTGAATGCCTGTTAACAACCACAGTGAAATGGCTAGGTAAAGATGCCATCACTCCTTTTGCGGTGGATGGTAAAGCTTCGAAAACAGAACTCACATCTCAGATCAAGCAATGGGCTATTGCTTCCGGTCGCGCCGTTGTACGACCTGTGCTCATTGTGTCCTACGAAACGCTCAGGATGTATGTTGAAGTATTGAAAGATAGTCCCATAGGGCTACTTCTTTGCGACGAAGGTCATCGGCTCAAAAATAAGGATAGTTTAACATGGACTGCACTAAACAGTCTAAATGTGCAACGTCGTGTTATCTTGTCAGGAACTCCTATTCAAAACGACCTTTCAGAATATTTCGCCCTGCTTAACTTTGCCAATCCAGATTTATTAGGGTCGCAGAATGAATTTCGGAAAAGGTTTGAATTGCCTATTCTCAGAGGAAGGGATGCTGCAGGGTCGGACGAAGACAAAAAGAAAGGCGATGAATGTCTTGCTGAACTCTCAACCATTGTCAACAAATTCATTATCCGCCGAACAAATGACATATTGACGAAGTACTTGCCCGTCAAGTATGAGCATGTTGTTTTTTGCAACTTATCCCAATTCCAACTCGACCTCTATAACCACTTCATTCAGAGTCCAGAGATTAGGAGCTTGCTTAGGGGCAAAGGAAGCCAACCCCTTAAGGCAATTGGCCTTTTGAAGAAGCTCTGCAACCACCCTGATCTACTTAACCTTTCCACCGACCTTCCGGGGTGTGAATTCGCATTCCCTGAGGATTATGTCCCACCTGAGGCAAGAGGGCGTGACCGCGATATCAAATCTTGGTATTCGGGGAAAATGATGGTTCTGGATCGAATGCTAGCACGCATACGCCAGGACACCAACGACAAAATTGTTCTCATTAGTAACTACACTCAGACACTTGACCTGTTCGAAAAGCTATGTAGGTCAAGGGGATATGGCTCATTGAGGTTAGATGGTACTATGAATGTGAATAAGCGGCAAAAGCTCGTCGACAAGTTTAATAACCCGGACGGGGAAGAGTTTGTATTCCTCCTCAGCAGCAAAGCCGGTGGATGTGGCCTCAATTTAATAGGCGCCAATCGCCTCGTGCTGTTTGACCCAGATTGGAACCCAGCCGCTGATCAACAAGCATTGGCGCGAGTATGGCGTGATGGCCAGAAGAAAGACTGCTTCGTGTACCGCTTCATCGCGACCGGCTCAATTGAGGAGAAGATTTTCCAACGGCAATCTCATAAGCAATCACTGTCCTCATGCGTTGTGGATTCAGCGGAGGACGTTGAGCGACATTTTTCCTTAGAGTCTCTACGCGAATTGTTCCAATTTAAACCTGAAACTCGAAGTGACACACATGACACCTTCAAGTGCAAGAGATGCAGACCGGATGGAACGCAATTCATCAAGGCACAGGCTATGTTGTATGGCGATACCAGCACTTGGAATCATCTTGTTAATGATGGCGAGAAGGGTGCGCTCAGCAAGATTCAGGACCTACTGATGCGCCAGGAGAGCGGCGAAAGAGATGTGTCTGCAGTATTTCAGTACATCAGTCACTGACCTATAATTCTTATAAATATCTGCGTTACTTTGGCTAGATGTTCAGAGCAGTTGATGCTATGACAGCCATGAGTTTGGGACAATTTAGGCAACCAGTGCAGCTGAGCACAATATTATGTTTTTGTCCTTTTGCTATCATAGGCTACATGAGGTCTATGATCATGAGTTTTGGGCGCCTATTATAATGTGGAGTTACCATGGTCACTTGAACAATGCCGATTGAGGTTATCATGCCAATCTTTCATATTTTCAGATGATAATTATATGATTACGATATCGTTCATAAGGAGCACAGTACTCCGTATTCACTTCTATAATAGCGGTAAATGTGATGAATATCTCTTCGTACCAGTACTACCAGTACATTGAGCAATGCAGATCACCTGCCTATGCAAGCCACTATCCCATTCCTTTGCAGATTACTTTTTTCTACCAATAGCTCAAAGCGAAAGAAATCCTATCCTGCCCAGGTGGATACCCTTTCCTACCATTATGCTGTACAACCAATGAGTGTTCACTGTTCTCAGTGGGATGTCCTTGTTCAGCTCAAGTCATGAGCTTAGGTCACCTTAGCGACGTTGATCGTCGTGAACCCAGTGAGTAGCAATCCGGGCTTCCGCGGCTGATCATTTGAACCACAGCTCGCTCAACGAGATTATGATTGGCGAAATCTTACGTAGAAATTATTGCTAAGCTGGCTTGTTTGCTTACTTCCGAAATACGAGGCATATTCATAGGTGGAACGGACCAAATCTATGCATCCA